TGACAAAATCCTTAATATCCAGATTACCAATCTGAGTACCAGAAGAATATGTTTGATCATTTAAGCAAAGTAACAAATCTAAGAAGTCAAAGTGTGACAGAAAAATATTTGGCTTCTTGTTATAGATACTTGGAAATGGAGGATGCAGTAGCAATAGCTGGTAAGGAACTCTTTAAAGAGGAATATTCCGATTTGTGGCATTAAATAGCCATAAATGTGTTACTGTCCTCCTACCTAAAGATATCTGGGTTAATGGGAATGGTTGGTATATATTATTTACACTGTTCTTGGATCACTTTGTAAATCTGCTGTTATAATTTCAAAATCAAATGGACTGTGGTTAGCTGAACAGAAGTGCTTCAGGACCATAAATTTGTTATCTCCTCCACCCCCCAACCCCCGGCAAAGAAACGAAATAGCATGCATGTTTGGGTATGTGTAATTAATCATTTTTTTTTTGAAATTCAGATAAAATTTCTTTCAACCAGGCTAATATAGTAGTAAGGTAAGATTTTGGATTTGGTCCACAAAGATGGAACTTCACTTAACCACTCAACACTGGAGTTCACGGGAAATTTGGGGTCAGACCATTATCTTAGCCTACTCTATCTTTCACATTATAGTTGTGCATGTTTTTATGTGGAAAGACAAGCGTGTGTGTGTGTGGAGTGATATAACATGGTTAATGACAACATCATACAAATCTCATACTATATGCACTTGTGTTAAGTGCCATAATGCATATATAATTTGTGGCATTTACATGATGATATCATCATCCATGTATCCTCATTATTGTGGTTTGTTGCTGTTGTTGGAAGGATAAATTATGGGCAATTCTCATATGTGCTGCCTAAAGGTGCCAAGGAAAAGTTGGGTATAAATCAAATTATAAATAAGTAAAATAAATACAAATAAAAAGCATTATTTGATGACCTAAAAATTCTATCTGTATATAATCTGTGACATGCAAAGTCTCAATGCTGATTTTAGAGTAAATAAATGAGGGAATGAGTCATCCAAAACACTGAGGTCTAAAATTTCACACTCCCTCGTAGACAAACCAACATTGCTCCATTCAATACAACAGGGCTTAATCGAAGAGAAATGTGTATAGCAAAGATAGGAAGACTTTGGAGCCTAATGGCCACATTTAACAATTTCAGAGCATATTACATATGCCTCCAAAAATGGATGGTATGGTAGATTGCCCATTTATAAAATGCTGAATGGTGGGTCTGGTCTTTCATAAAATGCATATTTAACTAAGGGTGGGGGGATTGTAGAGAATCTCAAAAACTCTTCACAATCTTTTGTGTTTCCGAAGTGGCACTAATCTAGCTTATTTTTTTCCCTCTCTCAATTTTTGGGGTTCCATTTCCAAAGAAACACACTGAAATCGGGGCCGGATTTTCCTATAGGCTAACTAGGCTTCAGCCTAGGGCCTCAAGATCAAGAGGGGCCTACATTCAAATTGTTAGCAAAATTAAAATTACACTTTCACTATAGGTGAAAGGGCCTCATAAGTGGAATAGCCTAGGGCCTCTTTTCATCTAAATCCGGCCCTGACTGAAATATATGGTATCACACAGCACTGTTATTACCTGAAAATGCCAGAGACAGAGGCAGAGATAGAGGGAACCCCTGGGAGAGGATGGGACAATGGTCAGTAACCTTTAGAGCAACACGTCTTTTACAGATAATGATGTGAAGGAAGAAACAGGCCCCAACCCATCTTCTTATGCCTATTGAGTTCTTCCACACAGTCAGATGAAAATACAGAAAGGACTGTAGAGCTTGATTATCACTTAATGGGAGTTCTCTTATCTGATGCTGGTGATTGGCTGAGTTTCTCTTTCTCACGCACATACACACAAACACACATATAAATGCACACACATGTAAAAACCTCCTGTTCCAGTTAACTAAATTTTCAATCTATCCTTGGAAATTGTTGGGCCCTATTATTGCTGCTAGTATATTCAGGAAAATGCAAAGATAAGTAATGGAACAGCTTGAAATGCAAAATGATAGCTCCTCTTCTGCCATGCCTTATTTTTTGTGGGAGGCCAGCAAAAGGAGAGCTTTTAGAATAAATCATTAGGCATGATCAGAAGTAAAAAAGAGGAAGAAAAAAATATATTTTTGGGGGGATATTTTTACCTGAGCACTTCCCCTCCAGATTTACCCATGGTCTGAATAGCTCAATAGCTGGAATGTTTGCCTCTAATTCATGGCTTGTGCTTTGATATTTATGCAAGAAAATAATATAGCTATAACTGGAGTGATAACTCAGTAGACATATCTAAAGGACAGAAATAAAATTCGACTTATAAACATAATTGTTCTCAATTTTGCACTTACTTGAAAGAGGCAATTTTATTATGCTAAAACAATGTTTCTATGTATTGAAGGAATAAAAGATGGACAATTTCTCTCAATCATTAAGGGTAGAGTTTATTTGTAAGAGACATATTCAAACAAAGCAGAAAAATTGTATTCATGCAGTCTAGGCTGTGGAGTTCACTAGAAGCTACTATTTCAATCATTCACTAGAAGCTCTGATTTCAATAATCAGGATATAAGAAAGTGAACCCTAAACCAGCAAGCTTACTATTGGCTTTCACAACGGGAACTAGGAATCTTTAAAGCCCCTCCCTGTTGAGGCAAAAGAACAGCCAACAACAAAAGTCAACTAGAAAGAAGTTCTTCCCTATCTGTGGAGATGCTGCCATTTGTTCCTGTGATGGCTTGTTTCATGGGCTAATTACACATGATATATCATGGTAGGTTCTCTGACAATACTAGGACAAACAGTGTGCTGAAGATAGTTATTCTACTCCGTCTTCCCAAAGGTGCAATTATACTCATCTTCAAAAACCATTTGATGGTTCTGTTCTGTATTTGTTGGTAGTATTATTGTATTTGTATATACAAATATACAGTATATTGATTATAATCTATAAGTTGTACATTATCTTGGGACAGTTGAGTTTTTGGAATATACAGCTCATCATAAATTGTTTCATGAAGGAAAATGGCACTGATGTCAAAATTCCAATTTCAAGACTTTTATTTTAACAGGAAATTAATAGAAACTGGCACATGAGATACAACAGAATTAGCAATAAATCATTTCACACACACCCCCCCCTATTATTTATCATTGCCAGGAGTTTGATCCTGACTGGCTCAAAATTGACTCAGCCTCCCGAGGTTGGTAAAATGAGGAACCAGACTTTTGGGGGCAATATGCTGACTCTGTAAACTGCTTAGAAAGGGCTGTAAAGCACTATGAAGCAGTATATAAGTCTCAGTATATTGCTATTTGCAGAGTGCATAAATAATGCATATTATTTTTAGGCAACTATATTGTTGGCATTGTACATACTCAGCTAAGAACGCATGATAAAAGTGCACTTTATTGAGTGACTTTTCCCCCAGAGCTATAGATATATATTTTAAGACACATTTTCTTTTTCCTTATATTACATGATTTCAATGCATGAGCACTTTCACCTGTTGCTTTCATTTGCAAAGCTGCAGGGGCTTAAAACCATGTTGTAAGTTTCATGGAATGGAAATAAATTTTGGTTCTTGAAGGTTTGATCCTTAACATATTTCCTTTTAATAACATGTATTAGTCAGAAACGATGCTATTAGATTCCTGATATTTGGTCATCACAGACTGTCACTCCTCTTCTTTTACAAGAAGAAAAGGAACCATTACATTGTATCCCAGGGGCTGGCTGGTTGGAAGAAATGGCTCTCTTAAACCAGCCTAAAACCAAAGTGGTCCACTTACTTTCCTCCCAGCCAAATCCAACTATACAGATCAAGTTGAAGAATGTTTCCTTTGTTGTGTATGCATGATGCTTACTCATCTACCAGCCATTCCCCTTTTAGAGGAGTCTATTTTTACAGCCTAATTTTCCATTTGTCTTTTGATCTTTTACCACAGAAGAGGCTCAGATATTAACAACACAGTCTAAAGAGACTGTGACGACATGGACTCAGGATGTCTGCCAGTTTGGGAGTCAGGGGCTCCCTGCATAGCAGTTTTGGATAGAAAGATGTGAGCTTCACTTTATAGCTCAGAGTGCAAAGCTTTTATTTTTAATAGATGACACTGAGTTGTGTGAAGCGGTACTAATCTTTTGAGCATTACAGCAATATACTGTAGGGCCTCTGTGTGGCAAAGGGGCAGGTTTCATCCCATGTTACACCAGTCAGTATCAAGGAATGAGAACACAGCATCAATTACACTGGGTGCTTTTTCTGTGCTTAGATTTCATCTTATCCAACATTAGAAGTGGGTCATTAACATCCTGCCTCTAATACTTCAAGGTTAAGCCAAAAGGATTAAGCCAATGAATCAACCCAATCAAAAAGGACATGGAGGGAAAAAAAGTGATAGCAAAAGAAATTGTTGGCAAGTATGCATTAATGCTTCATGAACAGGCTATTCTCTGAGCTTTAGACCTTAATAAAAGAGATTTTCAAGCTAGTGGGAAAAAATTTCAGAATTACAATTCCATATCTATAAAGGCTTCATGTTAGGCTAGTATGATATGTATTGCTTGATTGACTTCTATAAGATGATCCATCTCCTCTTTAGGTTCCAAGCCATAAACGGGGGATAAATATTTCAAATACTGTACAGTGCCTGATTTTTCACATCTAGTGCATGTAAGCATCACCAGAGTTATGTGAAGTAAGTTGCTCTTGGTATTTAGATATATTCTGCACAGAGGGCTTCAAACTTTCATGCCTTCCTAACTTGAAGCATTGTATATTTCCATATATTAACATACGATTATGCCTCTCTCCAATGAGAAACCCCTGCAGAACGGAGTTGGACTGGTGGAATTTAATGATTTCTCAGATAACAAGAGCTTCACATTTCTGCAAATTCCCATTTGCTGGTGAATCGCTGCTTCTGCTGCTGTGCTGCTGCTGTATGGCTGCAGCTTGCCTGATTGATCGATGGCTGCAATGGCACTTTTCCATCTGACATTCTCTCTCTCTCTCTCTCTCTCTCTCTCCCTCTCTCTCTCTCTCTCTCTCTCTCTCTCTCTCTCTCTCTCTCTCTCTCTCTCTCTCTCTCTCTCCCTTGCACTCTCTTCCCACTCACCCACCCCCCTTTTCTCTTGCTTAAACAGCAGCCCTAACTTTTGTGTGTTGCAAATATAAAAGGCAAACCATGTGATAGAGGGGCAGAAGAACAAAAGCATTTGGAAGTAACAAGACCTCATTTTAGCCCTCGGTCTGGGGAGTCCAATAGAAGGGAAGGCACAGTGCATTTTGCAAAAGGTAAGCAAGCATATCACCAAAAGCTTAGGATCAAACACCAAACATTTCATGTACTTAATATCACTAGCTGATTTTTTGCAGCCCAAGATTATTTGAATATCTTCTTTGAAGCTTAATAAGCTTTGTTTTAAAGATAGGTAACTAACTTCAGTATCTGCATCTTTTTTATTGCCAGCATGTCTTTGAATTATATATCTGCTAAGAATGTTTGTGTGAAATTAGGCAGCAACAGAGAATCTCTTGGCTATCAGTTATGTTAAATTTGTGCCTTTAGACTGCTCTTCATTTGCACAAAACCATTACTTGACAGCAGGAAATATTAGAATTGGATGTGACTTCTAAAAAGGATCAGGATACTCTCAGCACTGTCTCTATATGCCATCATAATGGGACTCTATGATCATAGGCTAAGCATCTGCTTTGAAACCAATGTTTACTTTTATTGCAACTTATGGATGATGGTCATCTGATAGAATGCTTAGAATAATTGGAAACAATGGCAATATTTATTTCAGGCATAGTCTGTCATCCTTCACAGAGAATAGTTTTAGGTTTTATATATGAGCATGTGAGCATGTGTGCGGAGGTAGTGTGGAGGTCATTAAAAAAAAACCCTTTATTAAATGTCCAGGGAAGTTTTGCCATTGAGTACACAGCACTGGTTATGGATTAGAAATAGATTTAATATGTGCATGTGTTTGGTTAAAGGGAGTAAGTAAATCCATTGTGTTTGTCTTGGCTGCAGAACAGAGGAGATATATTGAGCAGTCGGCTTACCATTAATGCAATGTAGATGCCTGTTGGCAGATCAAACTAGAGGATGCTCAACAAAAAAGTGGTTTAGAGAATAATTTGTCAGGTCTTTAGTGCTTGTCCTTAAGAGAAGTTTCTTCTATCTTAGAATCATGTTTTGGTGGTGGTTCTTTCAAAGAAGAATTACCTTGCAAGATAAAAAGGTCATGGGATTTTAGGATAAATGTATAACCAATGTTAAAACATGAAATTAACAGAGACCTTAAAGTAAGATAAAATATAGAAAAATCCTCAAATATTATTTTATTAAAAATATAAACTACCACCAGATGCTGAGCTAAAATACGCAGTCAGAGATGACTGCTTAAAATTAACAAGCTTGACTGTGGGATTAAGAACATTGTCCTTTAACTTTTTTTAAAGGTTGCATTTGAATTTGAGAGATTTCTGCCTGTTAGCATGAAGGATGTGAGCAAATCTTTTTAGCATAATGCTAATTTTGGAATGAACACACTAAAGAAAATTCAATGTACACAATGAAAGATTACCTTACAAGTAACATCCCAATCACTACCTGAAATGGGATGCTGTATAGGAAATGCATGAGCCAGAGTCAGCCCCAAAATAGAGAGAATATACCCCAAATCACTTTAATAAAGTGATTTTTTCATTTACAATTGGGACTCTATTCCTCCCGGAATGGTGGGTAGCAGAAAATGTAGTTATAAGAGGTGCAATATAGTTTCATTATCTCATTTCCAAAGGATTTCCCACTATTAAACCACATGATATGACCAAAACCCATATGCAAAATAATGACTGAGATTTAAGTGGATGCATGTTTGACAGCTTCAACCAAAGATTTACACAAGGAAGAATCAGTTTCCTTATGTAGACGGAAGGAAGCAGGGGGATTTCACCCAATTCTCTGGCTGTAATACATGCTAATGTAATCCAAGGGACTGGGGTGGGGGGTGGGGGAAGCTAAATCAAATCCTTAAGGCAACTATTGTTGCATCCTAGCTGTCTGGCAAGGGCATTCTGAGTTTTAGATGGACATTTTTCTTACTGAACCTTGCAGTGTTTGTATGATAGAAGCTAATGTTTTAAAAGAGAGAGCGAGAAAATGAGAGGTAATAAAAATTCTACTTGCCAACAATAATAAAGTACATAGCCTACCAAAGAAACAGACTTCTTTCCATAAAGGTAAGACAAGATTTTCCAAGATGGTCATATCTATGTTGGTTTGCATTTAGCAGCTTTCTTCCCAGTTCTTCCTAGAATTGCAGCTAATACTGAGAAATCTGCTACTGTAACCTGGAGAGGCAATCATAGGCTACAGTGATCCCAAAAACATTTTACAACCTTTTAAAGGGCATGCACACACCCCTACAGTTTATGTTACTGAAATTTTGGGCCCTGAAATGCAACATTTTTAGAAGGAACAACTTTTAACTCAAGATAAGGTACCAAGTCCCCATCATACTACAAATTCCACCAACTCCCTCTCATATTACCCAAATGTTCTTGACTTTAATCACATTGTCCTCAGTCACAAAATAATGAATGCACAGTATTCAACATCAATAAGATTTTCCAGATTGGATCCAGAGAATTCCCAAATAGCTATGTACAAAGGAATAGGAAATCTAGGTTTTAGATCTCATGGGGACTCACTGTTGTAGCAACCTTCTCTACACACACACACCCCTCATTCCAAGATAGTTACAAAAGTTTGTTTAATTATTTTTTACTTTAAATATATGGTTGATCCTTTACAAAATGGTGTTTATTCCAAGTAAGCAATACTTCACAACAAATTCCGTTTTGTTATGTTATGTTAGTTATAATAGTGCCACGATTTATATACATTTAAAATGCATGCACTCCAAAATTTGCTACAGCATATCGGGTATATAAAGCAATTATAAGATGTGGATTTGTGGGGAGTCCAGGGAGAAGAAAAGTGGTGTGTGCTTTACAAATGCTACATTATACATTAGGGCTGTGCCGCATTTTGAATATGAAGGGGAAAATGGGATTCATAGAAAAATGGAAGCACCCTCCAGAAATGTCTTAATCCAAACATGGCTACATAAGGCAGCAACTTTAGCTCGGGAAAGGTCCATCTGCTTTAAGGTGTTTCTGACAAATGCTACATGTTTCTGAATCACACGCCTCCCTTTGATTCCAACTGCTGCACAGCCCTACTGCACATGGCCATTTATACTTAAACCAATTTGCCAGTCCCACTTCTCTCATCTGCAATCATATTTATTCAAAGATAGCGCCATGTATGCCTCATGAAATCAATTTCCTGACTGCCAATGCTTTAAATAGAGCTCTGGGGACCTATCTTCAGGAAATTCCACCTTGCATCCTAAGGAACAAATTTCCATGTTCTTCTTAACCCATCGGTGTACTCTACCCACCACTTCTTGAATGCAGGAAAGGATGACACCATCATCTCCCCACTCCCAGTCCGTTGCAAATGCACCCACATAATGTTTTCCAACTCAGATTCAAAACTATAATTTTAGGACACGAACAGTCTTAAGCCCTTTAGTGTAAAGGCTCTCCAGAGTTTCATTCTGTTGTAGTAAGTGCCCTAGCTCTGATGGGATACGGTGCTTACATACCTCTCTCCCCTCCAGTGTCTGGGCACTGTTCTGTGTTGTTTCAACCTAGGCTAGCAAGCTTCTATGTTCTCTGCTGGTTGACAACTACTACTTTTTTATAATCCCACATTGATCTAGCAATGCCTTTTTAATTCATTGAAATCTCTAGAAACTTATGCTTCGTTCAATCCTTGCATCTCTTAGTGGGCACTGTTTTGATTTCTACCCAAGCTGGGTAAAACATTCTCCCCATTTGCAAAGCTTCCTTACCCTTCCTCTTTAAAAAAGTTACAACATGGGAAAGTTGCTACTTTCTTTTTTCTAGGAAACTGAACCATCAATTCTTTATTCTTACAAGTTTTCCTGGACCTACAAAGGGTCTTAGGATCTAACGAGCAATGATAAGGAGAAAGGAAGGGATGTGAAGGCATCTGTGTATGGAAATCTCTGGGAAAGCATGATGCTAGCGAGGTAGAACAATCTCACAAAAAACAAACAAACAAACAACAAAGCAGGCACTGGTAAAGTGGTCTGTGTAGCTGTGTAGCTGAGACTTGTCTTTCCTGCATATATATGAGAAGAACAAGGATTGGGGAACAATCAGCCAAGTCTTAGGGTGGGCAGCCCAGCCCTGTGCCCAATGTTTTGCAACCAAAAACTTGAATTTTTGAAGATAGCTTAAAAAACAGACAGGAACAGCATAGGAGCCAAATAACTTAGGGCAATTTGAGCCTGAAACATTTAAGATGACTTGGATTAGAAAGCAGCTTTGAATCTCTTAAGGAATATGCGCAGAGTAACCCTTGAGTAGCAAGGGTGTGCACACGAGAAAACGGCTGAGAATGATTGTGAATAAGCACTGTCAATACAGACACACTTGAATTTTAGTTTAGGTATATACAACATTGGTAACTGCTCATTTATACATGAACAATATGCAATACCTTCTCCAGATGCTTTCATTTTCCATCTATTGGCTAATGATACATGTTGTTTACTATTAGTCACGTTTACAAACCTCTCTTTATTTTTAGTGGTAGACTGCGATGCTTCACTGTCAACTACCCACAAATCATGGTTTACAGTAGTGGAACTGGATATAGCTAGATTAACATTCTTTTTGACTCTGTTGATTACCAGTATTCATTTTCTTACCCTTTTTACAGAATCTAGCTATATGACCCTTAGCCCCACAAGAAAAACATTTTCTAACAGTATAGGCAGTTGAAGACAGTTTTTCTTCTTGTGGTTGTCTCTCTCTCAGTTGGTCTCTTTCTTGCCTTCTTATGGACTCTTCTAACAATCTTCCGGTTATGCCAGTCAATGATAGTTCATCTCTGGTCAAAACTTCCAGTGAAGACACATAATCATCATAACTTTCATCCAAAGAGGAAAGAATGATATAAACCTGATGCAGTTCTGAGAAAATTAGCTCTTTTTCATGTAGCTCTTATAAAGTTCTCTTCATAAACTCCAAATGAGCTAACATATCTCCACTTTTCAGAAGACAAGCTCTAAACAGTTTACGTGTAAGATGTATGTGTGCTCCCACACTATCACGAACATAAATCCTCTTCAAATTGTTCCAACACCTGGCAGCAGAATCCTCACCATGAATATAGACTAGCT